ATGGACTGTTATGAAATTATGCAGAGCCAGGGGGATGTATCCTACTGTGGCTTATTCTGTCTCAGATCATCAGGGGCCTTCTGCTCAACCGTCTCTGATTTGCTTGAATTTTATTTATTTATTTTTTAATCATACACTATGGATATTTAAAATAATTGCCTAACAATCCACTTTTAGCACTTTTTTTCACACGTTGACATTTGAGGCTATGTTTGAACAATAGTAAGACTTTTTGTTTTATTTCTCATCACACCAGTGATTCACAATCTGCAGTACTGGACAACTAGATCAAATAGTCTCCAATTATGGGTTAAGAAAATATGAAAAATAAATTAAGCTGGGAAAAGTCATATTTTTGAGCACACATTAATAAAAAAAACAAAAAACTGAAAATGCAGAAGTCAACTAGTGATATGTTCTGAACCGTATGTAGCTGCATGTAACAATGATAAAAACAAAACATAAAATACTTTTTAAATTTTTTAAAATAAAAATAAAGTTACTTATGTTGATGTCTCGTAACTTAATTGAACAGATATAACAGGCTGTACAACAAAAAACAAGAAATTACCCTGATAGTCTAATGAAAGTAACACAGAATGGTCCAGATTCTGAATCAATTACATTATGAGAAGTAACAGTGAAAATTTCAGGCTTTTATCTTTATTAATTTCTGAGAAATTGTTATTAAAACAAATTTTAATATGCGAAAAAAAGTGCTGAAAGTCGGTTGATGTGCAGTTTTAAAAAATATCTCAGAAAGTATTTAATATATCAGGCTAAAATTTCACCAATGTCTTTATAAATATCCTCATGTTAAGCTATTAAAAGTTTAAGCAAATCAGAGATGCTTGAGCAGAAATATTTCGAAAAATGTGACGATCTGAGACACTGCCTCTCACGATCCCTTCTAACATTTCGCCACCACGAGGCTGATGTGGTCTTTTAGTGAAAATTCTTCATTGAATTTAGTGCAGACTTTTATGTTCCCAGTAGGATGAACTCTAACTTTTCATCCCCTGTGAAACTAGCAGCATCCTCGTCACCTTCACCTCGTCTTTTTCTCGCATGCTAAACTAAGATTGTGACGATTTTAAACGTGATACCTGCTAAATATCAGCGCGGCACTGTGAACACATAGCGGATGAAACCGCTGCTGTGCCTAAGTATAGCCTCACAGCGCTGCTAGCGTAGCTGCAGACCCTTCATCTTGTTTTGGAACAGCACGAGCGAGAGTGAATAAGAGGTCATCATTTTACCTTCTCATCAGCTGAATGTCACATATTGCCATTTGGAGTTAAATAAATTCCACACGACAGCTCAGATTGTTCCTAAATCAAATCCAGCGTGTTTATACACAAGGTAAATGTATTCACTGCAAATGACTGATCACCTAATAATCCCCTGAATTACATGACTCCCTCTTGTGCGGCGCATTCCTTCCCCGGCCTTGATAGCACAGTGTTTTTAATGGACACAGTAGGACGAGTGTGCAGGGCCAGTTTGTAGCGTCAACACCAACAGCAGAGAGAGCACGGCGGTGTCAGGGTACGTGTCTGCAGCGGGACGAGTCCAGGCTTCAGCGGACCTGACAGGCTGTGGCTCATTAAACCCCCATCAGACGCGGGAGGTCAAGACAACAGCTACATCTTGGGCGACACACTCTGCCTCTATGCGTACTATGCAGACACACAATGCAACCGTTCCAACAGGATAATACTCCAAACCTATCAGTTGTTTTATTTATAGCATTTTAATCTTTTACCGCCGAGAAGTTCCCAGAAATCTTTAGACAAAGCATGAAGAGACCAACGGCTTATAGGGTTATTATTCAGGATGGGTGCACATGGGATGTTGTGTCTGATTTGATGGCGAAAAAGTTGCTTCTGTTTTTATTCTCCTCTCACAGCACGCGTGATGCACATTGTGTTAGGCTTTTTGTGCGTGGGCGGATGGCTGGCTGGCTTTGGGGAAGCAGGTCGACAATGTTGCTGCAGAAGGTTTCACAGTGGGGTAGAAAGAGACAGAGAGAGAGAGAGAGAGAGAGAGGAAGAGAGGCACTGGGGGCAGTGTTTGGCTAATTTCAGGCTGAAATATGCAGGGCTCCATGTTTGATTGTGTTTCATTCAAATGTGCCAGATGAGCAGTGACAGGACATCAAGACTCAAATGCAAGTTGTGTGTTTTTGGGTTCTCGATGCTTTCGCGACAGCTCGACTGTTTCTCTCTAGTTTTGACTCATGTCGCCTGAGCTGAAGTCCCTGCAAGGTCAAACAAGTGAGTTCCACGCCAACCTCAGGCTGTGTGGCGCCTCTCGATCTCTAGCTGACCTTTGTGCTTCCTCTTTTTTTCCTCTCCTCTCCTGTTACTCTCTGAGTGCAAGAGAAAAAAAACAACAAAAAACCCACAAACAATCCATCTGTATTTCTTTGCTACACGGTTCTGCTTTTTATATTTCAATCCTGCTGCACTCCCGACCTCCCCGTTTCCTCATTTGTCCATTTCTGCACGGAGAAAAGAAGAAAAAAAAAAACCACACCAGGGACCTCACTTCTTTAGCTCAGCAGTTGGAGAGAGGATGGAAGAGGATCTCTGTCAGATCTGCCAGTTGAATGGCCAGTCAAGTGGAAGGGATTAGATATATCCTGTCCTTCTCTCACTCTTTAAAGCAGCCTTATTAGGCCTGCTGGGCCCACAGGACCCAAGGGGGGCTTCCTGCTAGGGATGGGCTCGGTGTTGCACTCATGTTATTCCCACCCAGCCAAGGGTCACCACAGCCATTTAAGAGGATTGCATCCCGGTGATGTGTAATTGCTAATCTTATGGCCACGCTGGACCTGGAGATCAGTATTGTCCGCTTTATTGTTGGAGTATTGTGTTTAAGCGAGTTTGTATTAATGGAGGTGACCCGAAGTAAGTAGAAATATATTTAGTAGCTTTCTTGTCAAGTGATAGATGAGACGATTGGTACCACAGTCATGTTGCGATCCTGATTACAAAGCCTGAGCCAGGAATCAGGAAGATTTACTTTGCTGACTGGAAGTTGGGGGAAACAGTTTGCCAGGTGCTCACCAAAGGAAAAGAAATCTCCAGCATCTCGAAAGTTCCAATTTAATTTGCTACAAGCTATTTATCTGGTTTGTCTGTGCATAGCATTCACACATTATTGGTTGTAGTTTTGTTTCTTGGCAAGGTGCAATATTAACATCTAATGGGTTCATCTGAGAGTCATGATCTGGACAGATATAAGAGTGGTGTCAGTTTCCTCATCTTAACTCTCCACAAAATGTGAAGAAGTACCCTTAGCCAAACGTCAAACTATTCTTTTAATAGCAATCCCCCCCCCCATTTTTTCCCCCCTTTATTCTGCATTTGTGTGTTTGACTCTGATACCCTGCTGTCCTGTGTGTCGAGGTGAAAATGCTGCTCTGATAATGTCAGAGGGACATTTTGTCTGATCTCTGGCATCACGGCTGTCACATCACGGACGACTCAAACAAATCTTCACCGTGTCAGCGACATCCACAGCCCACACACACGCAGCTGCTCTCCAGGAAGCATGTCGCAACAAAACGCATTATTTTCAGACCAGCTTTGCCTGAAGACTTCTCACCTTAACTGCAACCAGCTGCCATTAGCACACAAAACATGCCATCAATTGCAGCATGTGAGCTGACAACATGAGGATCTGTGCACACGAAGAGACTAAAAATGTTAATTATTAATTGTCCAGAAAAATCTTTATATTTGTATTGAAGTACACTGTAAAAAATACAGATTTCCTAGAAAATATAAATAAAATTTGAAAAATAGACATTAAAATATCATTAAAACCTGTAACTGTGACTAATCATAACATTTACAGTTTTTCAAAGAAAATGGTAATTTTTTGGTAAAAAAGATATTCACAAATGAATGAAAACTTTACAAATATGTCTCTTTTATTTAATAGATGACTTTTAAATTCAATTATTATACTATACTACTATGTAAGTATCAATAAAATATAGGTAATTTTCATTATTTTATAAACATCATTAAACAATATGATTTAAAAAATACACAATCTAATATTTAAAAAACTATTGCAAATATCTGTAAAATATTTATATTTGCAGCACATTTAAATGCAGTAAAACAATATAATTTTAAAACCATACATTTTAAAAGAATAACAATGTTTGATGTGGACATTATTCACAGCCCACATGTAAATTAATATTTTTTTCTGTGATTTTAAAAAATATATATTATCTGTGTTATAACAAAACAGAGAAAATCTGTAAATTGTTCAAAAACTGACACGTTCAAATTGTTAAAAACATTACATTTTTACAGTGTAGGGCTAAAAATATACGTTTTAATTATGGACAATTATTGTATTTTTATTAGATGGTTATTTTCCTATATTAATATTACAGTATTTTTTTTGCTCCCCTGTTACCAAACTATCATTGTGTTTTTTTTGCTGTTGTTGTTGTTTTTACAGTGTAATAAGTGTCACTGGAGATACAGAAATTACTGCAAGTATTGGACTGTAGTCACAGGGTCTTAGGTTGTCCATCAGCATGTGTGTGCATTCATGACTCGTACCTCTATCAAGCGCAAATTTTCCCATGTGACTGTAGACGTGTGAACTCCCATGTTTACATGTAAACACGATGCCAGCCATGAGGGAACATGAGGGAAAGTTTCTCTGACATTTTTCTGTTGGATGATCATGTTGCTGCTGTGCTGTATTACAGTATGTTTGTACAAAACAAAGGCATGGTTCCCATGAAGGGTTATAGCTGACTTTCAAACTGCCATTCTCACAGAGAAAACATCCAAACCTGTGGAGATGGAATTTAACCATGATGTGAGAAATTACAACTGACAAAGGTTAATTAATGTAAAGTCACAGGATTTTTTTCCGTGCCTGTTGTGTCATTCGCAGTTTTGGCTTTTCTGCTCTCACACCTTGTGCTCAGCCTCCGTTTCTGTTTTCTTTTTTCTTTCCAGCTCGTTTGCCATGTCTAAGACGGCGGTGAAGAAGCTGCACTGGCGTTCCAAGGTGCAGGACAGCTTCGTCCCTCTGCTGGGCTCGTCGGGGGAGCTGGGGATCGCCGTCGGTGGAGGGGCAGATTATGGAGAGTTTCCTTTTGTCACGTCGGCTCCGGGGGGCGGCCTTACAGTGGGTGATATTATCCTAGAGATTGGGGGAACACCAGTATTAGGGATGACATTAGGAGACGTCCGCGGCATCCTCAACTCTTGCCCTCATCCTATCCGTATCAAAACTGTGTCTCCAGGTATGACTCGGCACACAAACACACAACCCCCCTATTAATTAGTGCGATGCTCATTGTTTTAGCTGATGTATAAATAATCACCACACAGGCAAGGAAAGGTGTGAACATAGGTGCGCCTCCCATCTGCTGAGGGACCTTATGTATTACATATTGCTACCGATGCTTTAATATTTGCTTTTCAGAAGCCATTTTAACTTGTTGCTGTTTATCTTGCTCACCACTGCACTCAAACAATCTGTTACGCTGGTGTCCAAGCTGTTGTCCATAATAATCTCACTCAGTAACCCTCCCCTGACTCCACAGAGCCAAAACTGCAGCCTGTAGCAATTCTGATGCTGATCTGTACTCGTCAATTAGTCTGCCTATGTCAAGGCGATTGGTCAATATGTGGGTAGGAGGTCAAAATTGCTGATGACACATGACAAGAGTGTGCCGATATAGCTGTCTGTCACCCACGAGGGGCCTTGATATTTAGAACAGTCGAGGAGGGGGGGGAATGGATATCTTTGTTGGCTCTGAGCAGAGCAATATGTCACCGGAGTGTCACCTGACTGCGGCTCCCGGTGGCCTTGCTCACCAGATTGATAGCTGATTTGGCCACAGGGGTGTAAATGGGGACCTTTGCTCCTGGTCCTCCTGCCACTGGTAGATCCATTATCATTTTTGAAGTCTGCCTAGCCCTCTCTAGGCAGCTTGACTGCATATAGTGTGGACAGTGATGGATGAGCTGATGCTGGGTCGCTGTACCACACCTCCTCCTCTTACTACTACTACTACTACAACTACCTCTGCTGCAGCCTCCAAATGCAGGACACCAGGCTGCAGTCCCCAGAGGAACAGAGCACTTTAAAGGTTTTAGCATAGATGCTGCAGGACAAAAACAAAGAGTGATGATGACACACACGTTTTTAAATATTATTTAGTGTTCCGTGTGAAAGCGTAGCCACAGAGGCTCTTCTTTGCGTTGCTATTATCCTTGACATCTGACAGATGTTTGCAGAATGTGCGAGGGATTTCAAATTTGTTAGAAAATCCAATCATTGTCGGCTTATTCAGTTTCAGAGAGATAGCGTTCAGGTCTGAATTTTGCCCTTCAACAGACTGGAAAATAGCAGCTGTTTTATAACATGATGAACAAAAGCCCATCATTTCTCCCAAAAGGCAGCAGGCCAGATTAATTTCCCTTTTTACAGGCAGCAGCCATATGTGACCAGTCATACGTACGTGCATTTGACTGCCTCCACTAATACAGTTACACCACTGTGACGTTTTAGTTTTAATAGCACGCAGGAAATTCAGTCTACAACTGGGCAGAACCGCTGTGACAGACGGTGGTGGTGGTGGGGGTGGGGTGGGCGGCAGGGGTGTGGATGGCCGACCGGGCGGCAGCCTGCAGGGGAAGCACCGACAGAGTGGTCGTCTGTCAGAGTGACAAGCGTGAGACGCGCTCAGCCCATCCATAACAGCAAGTGGCCTGTCATCCGAGGCCGTAAAGCACTCGAGACGATATTAAGAGATCAGAGAGAGGAAACTGAGTCCTGGTGATCAGCCCTGCCTCACCTGGTGACAGCTTCAACTGTAGCGTCTGGAGCAATTAGCCCCAGCGCGCTGTCTCTGCATCTGCACCCGTCACTTCAAGAAACACATTTTATAGTCAGGATCTATGCGAAGCGATACAGCGAGATCAGTCGGTGTGAATGTGGTAGTCTGGGTTATAAAGCAATAGTGTTAAATCAAGCCTGGCAGGAGTAAAGATTAGTACTTAAGATAAATTTAAACATCCATCACAGCACTGTTTATGCTTACTGAGCTGTTTTCTTTATGTCTCTCCTCTCTGTTTCTTTTTGCTTCCTGCTCCTCATGCCGTACTTGTTTTCTTTGCCCTTCCCTTAGGCTCCACATTGTGCAAGGATCTCAGGTTGTATCTGAGTAAGTGCTTCACACCCGGCTCGGTGGACAGCCAGCTTCAGCAGGTCATCAGAGAGAACCTTTACCTCCGCGCTGTGCCCTGTAAGTCCTTTTTTTTTTGTGCTCCTCTTCTTGCTTGTATTTCACTACACGTCTTGTCTTTGTATACTGGCCTTTCTACAGAACTGCTGCAGACTGCAAAAAACAAAAAGCAAAAAAGCATTAAAGTGTACAAATCGTAGATGTTTACGAAGATTCTTTTATTATTTATTTAAACCCAAAGTAATATTTACAGTAGTATTTATCTTAATGTATATATAAAAACAGAACATTTGAACATGAAATACAAAAATAAATACTTAATTATGAAATCAGTCTGATCACCGTTGTGCCCTTTACAAAGAACTAATGGATTCAAAATACTCCAATTCTCATAAATTACACCTAAAAAGTAGCACATTTTAACTGTAATTTTATTGCTATACTGGTGAAAACCTATTTACAGAATTTACTGAAAAACATACACACAAGGTTGATGTAAGCAAAAATCATAATATGCCAAAATAACTTTTATTATTATATATCATTGTGTTTCTGTAGTGACAAATTTGGCAAGAGTAAATATTCCAAAAACTTACTGTACATTTACTAGACATGTGTACTTTGGGTGCTATATCAGCTGACCCATAATATTGACCTGTCAACAATATGTCAGGCCACAGATATGAAAGCTTTATTTTACAGAGCATAATAAAGAAAAAGATGCTCAGGGTAATTTAGAAAGAGCGTCATCACTAGTTAGTTACTATGCTAAAGCAAAACACTCTGTACACTGTCTGCAGCACATGTAGCAGAGTATGCGTCACAGCTGAGCAGATAGTGGTGTGAAGTCGAGCGGTGTCTTCATAATACGTTGCTTACTACCCTGTGAAATACATCGCTAGAAAGACAATAAACAATGACCCTGACCTAACATATGTACCAAGCAAGAATTTCTTCTTCCCTAATATCAGTATGAACCCTACAAATCCAGAATCTGTTGAACTCCTACCTCAGATATTATACAGATAACCTGCATACAAAGTTGAGGAAAAAACGCATTTACTTCAAGATGCTTCCCATTTTGACTTTGAACCAGTTCTATAGATCGACCCACATCTGGTCTTGTCTGCTGCAGTTTTGTGTCCTTTAAGTCTCCTCTGCAAAAATTCATCCTGTTGCCGTCATGTGCTGTATGTTTTATGTTTAAGCCTAATAAAAGGTGAATAATTAACTCAAGCATCTCTTTTTTGTTTGGTACTGGCTTCATTAATTCTTTGATAACACACCTCACAGTTGCTGCCGTGCGAGTATCTTGGTGTTAATTGGCATTTAGTCCTGCAGAACTGTTCTCCACACTTCCTCGTGTTAATGTATGCTGGTGATTCCGTTGACATACCAGCAGGGGCTGATTGTATGAAGAAATATCTTAAATTAATTGAGATCGACAGCAACAGACAGACAAGGTGCGATCACTTTGGGCATTTCCGTAGCAACAGTCTGTATTGTCACCACACTGGGTTTATCCTCAGTGGCAGTCTCCTGCTTACAATCCACACCCTTGAGCTTCAGGCTTTTTGTTTGGGTGGTGATTAATCTAATGGTAGTTGTGTTGAACAGATTTTTTATTTTTTTATACAGTGTTTGTACAATTCTCTGAAAAGAAAGCCAGTAGTCTGCACACGCAGTTTCATTTGATGCTTATGAATAAAATCAAGCACAATGGCAGCCAAAGGCAACTAGTTGTAGTACATCTGTTGCTCTTAATCCTCTATAATATGACGTCAGTGGAATCGGCTGGAGGATATAATAGCTGAGTTTTCTGAGAGAAGATTTGTGTTTTTGTGGGGATTTTCTAGCTCGTGTTGTCTTGTATGTTTTTTTTGTGTTTTTTTTTATTGTTCAGGTTGTGGTGGTGTGAAAGAGACAGACCTCACAGTGTGTCTGCAGTCTTAACCTTGCTATAGCAGCGTGGAGTTGCTGCTAATCTCTTCTTTAGTCAAGGAAGTAGGTCATGTGGGACAGGCTGCCACCACGCCACACAACACTCTTGCTGAAAGAACAAGGAACAGTTCAAAACTCACAGGAGAGCGCAAGAGACATCAAACTGTCACCGTTATAATACAACATGCATATCACATTATACTTTAATTGCAGTTTTAGCCATTTAAAGCTCTTTCATTACTTAGCCGTGCATCTACCAGCAGCTGCTCAGGGACTGAATTCCCCAAATTGACATTAGTGCTTTCAGCTGTTTGGTAATCAGAACGGGAAAGATGTGTTGGTCAGAGAAGGTTTTAGATGTTTTTCCGTGGAAACTGTGTGTTTGTGCAATTTATTGACCAGAGGTGTTACATGGAGGAGTCCAGTCTTTCCTCCACCAGTGGTGCCAAACTTTGCAAACTACATCCCGTCTCTAAGTGATTTATTTTAGCAAGAGTGACAACAAGGCAAGCTCGGCCTCCTGGGTGTGTAATCCCCTGATCTGCTGAAGATGACACAGTAAGATGCTGTTGTTCTCGTGCTGATACCAACACTCACATGCTAGCCTGATCCCAAGACGGCTCGGGATCACATCGCATCTAATTTCAGACCACTTGTAAACACATAGACGCTGAATTTTCCTCCTTTTGTTGTTGTTTTTTTTTCCCTCAAGGAGGCAGCTGTGTTTAAGAGGAACTTAAAGCTGAGGAGTTTTCATCAGTGGCTCATTGTGGCCCCCTTCAGGACCACATGTATGTTCCTGCTGCTCTCTTTGTTGACTCTCTGATGTAGTTTGTTGTAATTTCCAGCTTTAAATCACCTTATATTGTGATTAATTAGCCTCAGTTGACGTATGTTAAAGATGTTTTTCGATTGCGAGAAAGCAAAGACAGTACGTCAAGGCCTCGCTTTTGATATGCATTTTTCTCGTTTAGATGCTATTTCTTTCTGTGGCTTATTACTGCTGTGCTATTTAGAGAGTATTTCAATCCTTAAATCCTTTTGATGAGACAGTGTTCTCTGATATTGAAGCTGGCACTGATGCAAGAAATAACATTACAAAGGCTCAGTCAGGAGGGCAGTGCATAAAAATGGAAATGAATGACAGAATTAAGTGAATGCAGGCTACTGTATCAATAATCTAGAGGGGGAATTAAATTAAAAGCAAATGTCCATCAGTGCCAAAGTGGAGGAGGGGATGACTGCAGTCTAATGGGCCTGTGTGCTCATATTGAAGCAGACAGGATGCGTAACCATGAAGCTTTGGGGAGCCGGTACATGTGTCAACAAACAACAGCATACTGTATGTTCAGTCCATTGAAGACAAACCATTTTATACATACCAGCTTTCTATTTCATGTAAGTTGCTCATTTTTGTGTCATTCATTTTGCTCCGTGTGCAGGGTTTGCAGACCTTGAATTACCCTCTTCAACTTTTCCATCCACTTTTGTATAATCGCTCTAACCATTTGTACATGTGCCCTTGGATGATTCAGAGCCAATGTCATGTTATCAAGGCTGGCTGTGTCTCCGTCTCCCCCCACAAAAGACTTTTCTAATTGTCTTCAGAGTGAGTCAGAGATAAGAAACATCATCATTTAGTTATTCTAATATGCTCGCTCCAGCATGTCAGGCAGACTGTCTGTGGCCTTTTCAACTGTAGGGTTCATTGTTAGCTATTTGTGTGCAGTGATCTTGACAGACAGCTCTCTCTGGGTGTTGATACATAGTTCTGTGTAATTACCTCTTCAATCCCTCCCTCGCCCCTGTCTCGGGGGATCAGTGTGCAGCAGCCTACAGGGACAGGCGGGGAAGAAGAAGATGTCAATAATCCATCCTGTCTCCCCGCTGACATGTCATATATATCTCCGAGGAGGGTGCATAGATAATGAATCCTCGCCTCGCGCCATATCAGCTGGAGAGATACTGTGCGTCCTGAGGGGAGGAGGAGAATTACATACACGTCAGATGCCATCAGGAGATTTGCTATTAGACCTTTAATTAGACACAAAGACCTCTAATTTCCTTTAAGAGTACAGATTGGAGGTGCAAATGCATGAGACGTGTTACCTGTTAGTTTCTGCAGTGTCTGCGGTGATGAAACATGGCACAACCTGGAAATAGGGATGGACTAGTAGATGGAGTTGGTGTGAGCTTCAACATTCGGCAGCCACATTGGCCCTTATCGGCCTCTTTACAAAGAAGCAGACATTTTTCTAATCAGCTGAGAAGAGAGGGTCAAACTTCACTGGAGAGCATAGAGGGAACCTCAAATAGAGCATGTGCAATAGAAGGAGCCAGCCCGACGAGCTTTACAACTGCTGGCAAAACATCAGAAGCCGGTGTGTCATCGTGTTACTGTACATTAAACACAGTCTGTGCTACAGGAAGAAGGGGTCAGGCTAATGTTTGGTGTCCAGTGCTTTGTGTCTGTGCCGTGTGAGCTCCCTGCAGTGTGTGTGAGTTCTCATTGTGGGTTTTTTGGGAGGATTTTTTTTTTTTGGTCTATGCGCCTTTGTGTTTGCGTGCATGCTCTGTGCGGTGCTGTATGTGTCATTGTGGCTGGGAGAGCTGCTCCCAGGACAGCAGTGCATTAATCATGGGTTTTATAGGGTAGCTGGGTGTGACTCCCTCCTGCTGGCCCCACGCTGACATCACATGCGGTCCTCCAGGAGAAGGACAGAGATTTGTCCTCGGTTTGGGTGCTGCGCTTTTCTTTTCTTTTTTTTTTTTCCATCTTGAAAACGGATTTACTCATCTCAAGGTCAGAACGGGCGCCTTATAGTTCAATTTGCAAATTAAAATGACTTCACCAGATTTAACTTGGTGAAAAATGTAAAAAAAAAAAAAAAAGTGATATATTTCACACTACATGGCATGTCTGTGCTTGTGTTTAATTGTTTGTAGTTCTGAAGTGTGGGTGAAAATAGAGCAAACACTGAGATTCGCCTCCTGTAATGATGCAGAATGCTTTTCTGGACTCGTTGCTCTCTTCCAGGCCAAGGTCAATGTGAATCAATTACGATGACAGACCATTGATCATCTGAGTGCTCCATCTTTACAATGGTGATAGAAGGACTTTAAGACTTTCTCAGTGCCTCATTAATGTTTAATTCTGTTCCTATTGATCCGTCCTTAATAAAGAGGCCTTGGTGAATGGCCGTTGTCATCATTGTGCTCGTCATACCAAAGGGCAAATTTTGGTTTGCGGGTAGAGGCTCTGTTAACCTTTGGTTGTTTTTTCAGGCCAGATTAAGACACTATAGAAAAAACAGTCCACTTGTTAATTGTTGTTATCAGTTAATGTTGTAATCTGATTCAATTAGTCCTTTAAATATTGTGTTTAACTTTCCATCATGAATCACAACCTGTACAGAGCCATTTGTTTAATACCTTTTGGACTATTTCTGCATAATTTGTCAAACTAATGCAATCCTGGGCTATTTATAGTTTGCTGAGTTGCAGTTTGTTTAAACACTGCACCCAGATTGATGACCCCTGATGATTAACTGATATATCATCCATGTCAGAGCCGGTGGTATATCTATCCCCACGACTCTGATATATTACATTATATCTTCTCTCCCAGGTACAACCAGACAGCCCAGAGAGGGGGAAATCTCAGGGGTAGACTACAACTTTGTCTCCATTGAGGAATTTTTCTCCTTGGAGGAGTCGGGAGCGTTGCTCGAGAGTGGAAAGTTCAAAGGTGAGTTGGAACTATGGGTGAACGTCTCCACCAACCGCTGAGTGTTACAGTGTAACCCAGTTTTCTTCAAAGACTGTTGGATGGTGATTCATTGTGTTGTCTAAACTGTAAATTATGCTAGTGCTCATAATTATAAGATATTTCTTTGTTTAAATACTGGAAAACCATATTAACATCTAGCTGAATGATCAGTTACAGCCAAAAGAAAGCAAAGTTTAATTTGCTGTATATAATAATACGTATTACATTTATGATGTATAATTGAGATACAACTTTAAGACATATGTACGTCCTGTAGTTAAGTAAGCCTTGCTGGGTTGCATCAGAAGATTTTATATCTGAGCCGTTAGAGCCAGCGGATGGTTAGTTTAGCTTCGTATAAAGACTGAACGCCATCTTTTTTATACTGTTTGTGCTAAAATCAATGGGAAGCAGGTGACCCGGCTCTGTCTGAAGATACCAAAATACCCCTACCAGCACTTCTTAAAGCTCGATAATTAACGTGTTGCATCTGGTTTGTTTGATGTGCAAAATTGAAAAGTTGAGGTTCTACAGGAGTCTTACGTTCTAGTTCTTGACAAGGATGAATATTGGCAATACCCGTTGAACCACAACTTGTGATTTTTACATTCGTAGTGCTCCTGCTCAGATTAAACCAATGAGATATACCACATCTATGGAGATTCTCAGTCATCCAGGTCATGGTACTTCTAGAAGCTTCAGTAAAGAGCAACTAGGCTTTCACCTTCATCCAAGAGGCTCCCTCAGTTCTGAGGATTAAACTGAAGAAGCTTTGAAATTTAGGTGATAGACCATGTTAATTAGTAGCTTTGGAGGTGCTGTTGGGCTGATTTGTTGCTTTACTTATTTTTGTACCCAGAGACAGACTCGCTGTTTCTGCTGTATTCAAGCTGTATTTGAACTAAGCTAAATATCTCTTGACTTTAGCCAAATATTTTTCTGTGAGACTGGTATCAGTCTTATAATTTAGGTGTAGGATTTAAACTGGAGTCAGATGCTCTCATCCCATCATAATTTCCCTCCTGAGCAGTCATATCGTCAGGTTTCATTTTAGGTATTATCACAGAGGATAGTTGTTCATCTTAAATAGGCTTGGAATCAGTTTACTGGTTAGAGGAAATAAAAACAAATGGTTTTGAGGTATGCTGATAATATACTTTATAAGAATAGACATGTACAACTTTACTATTTATGTAAGGATCATATGGAGTGTTGCACATTATTCTGAAATAAAATATCAAATACCTGATTTGCAAATGTGATAATTTAAGAAGAGGGCTTTTGATGGAAGATGCCCCATTGACACCAATGATTTTCAATATCTATCCTCATTTTCTGATAAATAATGTACACTATTATCTAATACATAATAAAATAACTAACCATCAAAAGGTCATTATCTGTCTAAAAAACTTACTAGCAGACTTTTGTTAAGCTAATACTGCTGTGCTATATTAGCTGACTGTAGTAATAGCTAGCTAGCTTGAAATCTCCACTACTGTTGGCTAACCATTTCTGCTGATTAGTGATTTACAATAATAATGTCAGGAATTTTAATATAATTTACTGTAAATTGTCTTTTTTGCTTGGCTTATTAATGCTAAATTATGTGGCAATAGTGAAGCCGTCTAAAAAGCTGTATGTGTTAACATTATTGTTGCAATGTCTTAATTTGTTCACTTAAACATGCTTCTTGTATACATATTGGCATATTGGATCAAAATGATATATATATATATATTTTTTAAATTTATTTTATTTTTTAATTTTTTAAAGGAAAACAGACATTGTTGTAACGGTAGCGTCTTATCCTGGTTTACCCTCATATGTAACATTTCCACGGTAAAATGTCTAAAAACAATGAGACCAATGTTTTACATCATTTCAGGTTTTCATCAGCATTGGTGGTACAGACAACAACTCCCATGATCCCTCACCACTTACGCACATTTGCAAACTATTTTGTTGTTGTTGGGATTGAGAGACCCTCAGCAGCAGAACTTATATGCTGTGCATTTCACACTGCGACAGAAAGCATTTCCATCCCCTTCTATCCCTCATTGTTCTCCCTACTCACTTAAGATGTATTGGCAGTTTTTATTGTAATGAATAGGGTTTACATAGTTAATAAAAGGAGGGCAGGCAGCTTGAAAGCTATTTCTTGATGCATATTAATGACATATCAGGTGTTTCTCAACTTGCATCTACCCTGCAGACTCCTCCTCCTGCAAGGGTCAGAGTGCTGCCTCTGATTAAAAAGCTTCCATACATTAGCATCCATAATTTATAAGGGTTTAATGGGAGCAGTAAATGTCATCCTCACCTGCCTTATATGTGACATTGACGGACACACAGCTACGGCGAAGCAATCAGGAGCGTCAGCAGCATTGTGCGTGCAGTCGCCTGCAGAGACTGCTGTAAATGGTGACGGCTGGTGACCTTGCTGTTGAGTTCACTAATCTAATGTTTCCCCTCAACCCATTTGGATCTTCATGAGCCAAATGGAGGGGTGGAGGTAATTTCATTTATTCTTTAGCAGCTGGAGCAGATGGCTAGAAATAAGAATATTGAACGCAGTATATGATCTCAGGGGATACATAACGCAAATACACACGAGCATATGTGCCGTATATATAGATAATCACATGATCCTGCTCTGCTACTGAATATCCGAATATGACAGATTTTATTTACCTCATGAATTCATATCAGATTGGAACTCATAACATGTTAACGATGACCTTTAGATTTGAGCTAGTAGATTTTATTAGCAATGCTGATCATTTCTCGTCTTAATATGTCATTTCTATTCGACCAAATGTATGTGCATTACATTCAGTGTGTTTTATTTTACAGCTTGATGTGTTCGTTGCATCTCCGTTTCTTAAGGCAAGATGTCTTTCTCCTGTCCTTCTCTGCCTCAGGGAATTACTACGGCACACCTCGGCCCGTTCACATCAGTGCAGAGAGCCCCCCCATCACGTACCAGGAACACCGCAACCTGCTCAGAAACTTCCGCACACGCAGCAAATCGCTCAGCAACCTGGAGAAGACTGCAGAGGACGGCATAAACGGCGAGGACGACTCGGGCCTGTCAGGTAAGTTAAACAACGTGATGGGGTACAGGGTATCGTAAGAGGAGTGTTGCAAAGTTATTGGAGTCCTTTTAATAGCTCAAAAACATATCGGCATCTGCTAAGCCTTACACAGTCTCCAGCAACTGAACACTGCGACGTCCCTCTATCTATAGCTCCGGTCTCTGATGCCCAAATTAATCAATCATTAGCCCGATTTGTATGCTGTAAACTCTCGGTGGGGCTGTGGCCTCATTGATTGCTGGATCACCTCCAAAGGAAGGTCAGGATGCCTTAGGTCGAGGAGGCGAAGGGGTAAGCAGATAGTCGAGTATGCACACAGAGAGGTGAGGGGAGCAAAACTGGGAAGTCATGTGACATGAAGGCAGGATAGTTTGAATAAAATCCTCAGGCTCCCGTAAAAATAGACCATACGGTCGGTATAGATTTTTTTTTTTCCCCCAATAAAGCAAACTTCTTTATTTTGGATGTGATTGATGACTCTTGTGCCAGACACTGTTTATTGTGCTAAACAGAAGACTTAAAGGAGCTCATTAATCACCAGTGAGAAAACGTGCATTCAAAGTTTTAAAGTGAAAGTACTTGTTTTGAAAGAACATGTTTTCTGTGACTGATGTGTTAATATCTATCACAGTATTAGGTTGTTTAAAATGATGTGTTGACATGTAAGCAATTTTTTTGTATCCCAAGGTGCAGCTAGTTTTAAATACATTAGGTACAGTGAGATAATTTAGCTCAGCGGTCCCCAAACTACGAGTCAAGGCCCTTCCAAAGGTGGGGTCTGAATGGTCATGATTAATGGGGTGAGTAAAAGACAACCATTTGCTTGGTCTCCTTTGTGGTGCAGGAAATCAAATCCCCTGGACGTTCAGCTTAAGGTATGATTAATGGGAATTCAAACGCGTGTATTCATTTTGTGGACTTTCCTGTAATCTTTGCATTTTTGTGCGATATTAAGATATTTTACCTCTTTAGGTCTAGAATACTTACTTAAACCCTCTGAGGATTTTTTTCTAGACTTATGAAACTGTTTTTCATAAATTATCACAAGCCAAAAATATTCATATGGACAGAGAAACCTCATTTTCCTCTGAAATGTGATGGAGTAAAAGTATGAAGTGGCATAAAATGGAAATAGTCGAATAAAATGCAAGTGCCTCGAAATTGTATTTAAGTGCAGTACTTGAGTAAATGGACCTCGACAGGCAGATTTGGAGAGGTGATGTAGTGATGTTAACAAGAAGCTAGCACATAAGACCTGAACAGAAGGCAGGTATGAGATTAGGTGGTTAGGGAGAAGGAGCAGCAACATAGGGTGCTGGTGGTGGCAGGTAGGGAGGCCGAGTGTTGGGACGGGTGGAGGCAGGGAGCCAGAATGGTACAGCAGATAAGAAGCGGGCAGAGTGGGAGGTAGGAAACGCAGACAGGCACCGATCCAGATAGTTAGAAACGTGCTCCAAACAGTCAGGTAGGGCAGCAGGCAGCTGGGACTGGAGGGAGGTGAATGCAGAATGCAAACAGGATGAAGTTTGAGAGAGTCATCCAACACCCTGACCTCTGCTGAGTCATCTTTTGAAGTGATGCTGTGTGGGTGGATGGGTTCGGCAGCACTTGTCGTTTGCAGCAGGACTCAGGACACCCAGCGTCATGTCCGACGTCTGTCAGATGCACGCTGGAGCTCAGGGCTGAAGGACAGCTACAAGGACAGCTAGAGGGGGGGAAAAGTGCTTATTTTTCTTCTGCTGGTAGTATGGCATGCATGGTCACACACTCTTCCTCCTTAGAGGGAGAACAAAGACGGCTGAGATGCTGACCTCAGGTCTTTCTCCCTGACAACGCCCAGTGGAATTGACAGCGTAAGGTCATTACAGATTGCAGGAGCAACTTTTCACTTACTGCATCTGTTAAATAATATATCACTGTTCAATGTTTTTTTTTTTTTTTTTTTTAAAACAGCCTTTCTTCTACTGTCATTACAGGAGGCTCTGCAGGTGTCAGCAGCAGCATCCCTCTTTGTCACCGATCCCCTGGTCGGCCCCGGGCATCCAGCAGCGGTGGGGATGGTCGTGTCATAGAGAACGGGATCATTGGCAGCAGAAGCGGTGCCAGAGTGAGAGGTGTAATGCCTGATCACTGGGAGCAGGCCTTCAGTGACCCAGGAGAGTCACTTTACATAGCGTGAGTGTCCACACATTCCTCATAAATCTGTTAAAGGAAAAGCACAAAAATTTGGGAAATGTGCTTATTCTTTACTCTTCTATGTGTCTGCTAAATATTAAGCCAGGATCCAGGAGTCAGTTAGCTTAGCATAAAGACCATAAGCAAGGGGGAAAAAAACTGAAACTAACACACCTGAACTCCTTATCGCTATATCATTTGTTTATTTCTGACCAAATCCGAGATGTTTTGTTTAAAATTCTCTACTGATTTGTGTTGTCTCTTAACTTAACCTGAGCCAAGCCCCACCCACTTAACTAAACAATGTATCACCAGAACCTAACCTAAGCTCTAATGCAGTTAATTAAACAAGCATGATATGACTTATACATCAGTGAGCCAATTATTTTTGGGCAAAGCCTGGATGACTATTTCCCCCTATTTCTAGTCTTTGCGCAAAGCTAAGCTAACCATCTCCTGGCTCTGGCTTAATATTTACTTGACATGAAAGTGATTGTCAGTCTAACTCGTTGCAAGAAAGAGAATAACTATTTTTCCGAAAATGTCAGACTATTGTGTTAAACATGATCCGAAGAGTAGAGTTTCAATGGAATGTTGTAATAATGGCAGTGATCTCTGTTGTGCATTACATGTATAATAAATTGTAGTGCTATCATATTATATCCAATACTATTATGTTTCTTCTTCTTTTTTTTTTTTTTGCTTTGCCCCTTTGTCTCTGCAAGGCGCAGCCCCAAGAGAACCAGCTGGCAGAGTCCTCGAGCGTCAAGCAGGGAGACCATCTACAAAAATGAATGTGAGCCTCTTTGTTTCTTTTTTTTTCCCCGCCTTTCTCTCTCCCTCTCCTTCTATGCAATTATTAGAACACTGGCAACACATTTAACTGTCGAACAGCCTAAGCGGAGCTACATATTCGTCACAAACGGAAGTAACAGACACTGCCAGCTTGTTAGAGTCAAATGAGATGGAATGAGGTTTCAGCTGAACGGCGACGTGTAAGTGATTAAGGCCTAAAGCTCAGAGCTGCTGGCAAACAGCCAGACTCGCTGCCGAGGCTGGCAGGGTCGACACGTGGATGGCATGTGACTGGCAGCATAATTTCATAATTTGGTCGCGTGATAAAAGAATAAGAGCAAAATCTAGTTTCCGATGTTTGTCTGTCATGATTGCCAACTGAACCTAAGAAACCTCTGTTGCGGTGATGTGGGCTCGCCTCAGTTGAAGTGCAGTACACTTATCTCACCAGCAGAAGGTGATATAATATTCATTATGGCCAGAGGTAAAATCTGGTACAGCACACTGTTTTTGTAATAGTAATGTGACAGTGTAACAGAAACATGTTTACATTGAAATGGATGCTGCTTCAGCAACCACAACTAAGACTGGGTCCGATTAGGAGGCAAACTGTAAAAAATGTAATCTCTAACAACAATTTTCACAGATTTGGTGATGCAAACTTTAAATAAAAAGTCCAGGATTACTGTACTTGGTTGGGTCAAGCTAATGGATTATGTTGCCAATTTTAGGATGCTCGCCGGTAATGGATTCTGCTCTTAATGCAATCTTTCCACCATATGCTTTGGTTTGTGTAGTATTTTGTTAAAAGCCATCTGGCGATTGGTTTTATGGTGTTATGACTCTCTCTCTCTCAACTCACTTCGGACCATTTTGCTACATATAAACACACGGGACTGTTTTCACTCTTTTCTCTAAACCCACCCTGGTGGCATGTTTTTATTCTTCACTTACTTAAAGACGTTTATGACTTGTCCTCGGAGGTAAACATCATTATTGTTTCATCCTCTCTATTCCTCTCTGTTGCTGCTGTCTTCATCTGTTTCGGCGACTGCCAGGGTTCACCGACCAGCCCGCGGAGCTCAGGGGTTTTCCTGTGCACACACACTTGATCAAGGGATCCAGAGGGTTTGGTTTCAATATCGTGGGGGGCAGCAGGCCAAGAGAGTTCCTCCAGGTGTACAGTGTGACTGCAAGTGGACCCTCTGCACTCAAGACAGGTAAAAGATGTGACGTACCAGGGATGGTTACTGCATGGGAAAACTGGGTGAAATGTATTTCTATAGAGAAAATGTGTGAAATATGGTTATCTGAACATTTAAATAGCTACTTGTAAGCATTTGTTTTGTTACTCGATTTGCCATAGTTGCAGAATAAGAGCTCTAACCATCCTGGAAGTGTTGAAACTGAAAATATCCTTGTTTTCTCGATCTCCCCTTTTTGTGATTACAAGTCTTGTATTTTCCGAAGCTGTATATCACAATCAGTCCTTAATCCTCAAGGCTAGCACACCATAATCTAACCATAACACATGCACAAGCAGCAGTGCAGGTCCTGATTACAGACACACACACACACACACACACACACACACACAAATGCCCATACAAGCAGATATTACCGCTCTATGAAGCCAGAGCACAGGCTGTCTCTGCAGGGACTGATCTAGTTCATATCTGTTAATAGGCTGGTTTAGGGGGATTAGTTGGTTGGATTAGTCCACACCCACACAAAACACACAAACAGTATTTCAATTGTAAACAGGAATCCGCACACTCAAGCATATGAAATCAGTCAAAAACGCTGAAACAGTGATATGTAAAAACAGACTGTCAAAGTATCACGAAGGTACCAAGGTGTGAAAATGCAAAGCGATGTGATAAATATGGTGTAATGACATCTATATTTGTGTCTTTTTGCTTTTTCTGTATTAGCGGACATCCTGGTGTACATCAACGATGTCTGTGTGCTTGGAGTGTCCCACAAAGAGGTTGTAGAGATGCTCAAGTCAGTGCCTGTGGGCCACAGCGTGGATGTTGAAGTTAGAAGAGGGTATCCGATGCTCTACAACCCCGATGGATGTCCCAAGCAGCCTCCACCAAGGTTACTGGACAGTGGAGACCCCATCCTACTGCCCACCACCACCCAGCCTCAGCCTTTCCACCAGCTACCTCGCCTCCCAACACCAACACCCCAGATGCAGCACTTTAACTTTAACGGGGTCCACAGTGACGGGAGCTATATGGAACCCGGCATGACTCTAGATGCTAATGGAAATGCCACGTCTTTCGCCTCCAGACCGCTGCCTCCCTACAGGCGATCCAGTCTGAGCCACGCTGCCTCTTCCCCTCCGGTTCGCCCACCTCGTTCTCTGAGAAGCTTGGCCAGGCTGCAGTCACTCGACCCAACGCTGGCCAGCCAGAGTGACAGCGAAGTTGTTTCTGCAATTGGTTCACACAGGTATAAAACATTGCATATAACGTAAATGAAGTGTGTACTTTAAGTACAGCTTAAAGGCTTATCTAAAATTTTGAAATGTATAATTTGGCTCAATTCAGACCAACCTTGATGTCCTTTGCATCCAGCTGTAAACGCTTGTTGCATGTCATTCATCTATTTACTGTACCACCTCATTCCCTGATATTTCTCTGCTATTACTCTCAATTTAAAAAATAATGATTAATTTCCTGGAGAGGAATCCAATTTTATCCAGAGAGTCAGTGAGCTTTTGATAGATATTTGAGGGAAAATGCATAATGAAAGATTATTTCTGACTTTGAGAGCTGCAGTGGTTTGTCAGTCAGTCAACCTGCTACTTGAAAGAGAAGTATTCTGCAAGTTTTTGGATAAATGGTTATTTTAAGCAAAAATGCCAAATGTCAAGATGCTTTTTTTTAAAAGTTGTACTCAGCCAAAAAACCAATTCACAGAAGAAAAAATGCACTGAGAAAAAAATGGCAGATTATTCAATGATGAAAATAAAACATCAAATTAGTTAAGGCTCTAAATATTAATGTGTATAAGAACATACAGGATCTCAAAGCAAATGCTGAGTTTGTGTTGCTTTCCCTTCCTCATCAGGGCGTCGATGATCCGTAATCACAACAACAACTCCCTCTCGACGCCGCCTCATCCTCTCCGTTATGGAACGTCCAAGTCGTCTGAGAGCGACCTGTCCACCTGCACTTTGTCGGGGTCGCGGCTGCCCCTCCCTCAGTCGCCACGGAGGCCTTCCTCTTCCCCCGGCGGCCCTCGCAACATCCACTCCCACCTCTTCAGGCCACAAACATCCCACCTAAGACCTCCTCCCACCCCAGACAGCCCCCACCACCGGGGCTTCAACGGTTTCCATGGCAACACCAGCCCCACTGCGAGTCCCAGCAGCGTGTCCTCTCCCGGGGGGATGAGTGTGGGCAGTGGAGTTGGCAGCTTCAGCGGAGGGGAGCTGGTGCCGGTGGCCTTGGCCCAGGCTGAAGGAGACAGAGGCCTCGGCTTTAGCGTGACGGCTGGAGGGCCTGGAGGCAGGATGACTGTGGTGAAGAGAGTCTGGGACAGGAAGCAGTGCAACTCCCTGCAGCCAGGGGATGCTATTGTCAAAATCAATGGAGCTGATGTCCAGAGTCTCAGCTTTGCACAGGTAATGGAGGAACAATGAGGGGAACTTAAGGAGAGGGAATATGAACCCAACTCAAATCACCTTTTTGCTTATTAAGCAGCAAGGGAGTGGGGGAAATTGTCAGCAATCCAATCAAAGAGAGCTTATGTCACAATATTTACTGAAACTGTCAGTAGCTTTAAAAGGGAAAAAATGAGTCAGACAAATCCATCCCCAAGTTTAGAATAGTGAGTCTGCGTGTTTTAAGGCAGGGTGCAAGATCAAACATAAGCAAGCAATTTAAAGAATACCCACTTTATGTTTCCTTTTTATTTGTTTACAGGTACAAACAGTTCTGCAGGACCACACCAAACAGGGAGAAGTCGTTTTACTAGTTTACAGAGGAGGTAAGTGATTTTAGTAACCTCCCTGCCACAATTCACTGTGCACTGTGGGGAAAAACAAAACAAAACCAAATTAAAAGCACCAAACTGTTAAAACCTGGCAGCAAGAATATATTGGAATACTGTAATGTTAAAATAATTTAAAAACGGCAAAGATAATGGCAAATAATAGTTTTTATTTATTAAACTATAGTTAGGAAATCATGTAATTTATATAGATATACAGTGTAAAAGAACAAATTACTGTTTGTAAAAATACATTTTTTTGTGTGGACATTATGTACACTTTTGGCATGTTTTTTTTTATTTACAGGTAATATCTAAAATTAATATTTATTACTATTATGATTGTTATTTTCAATATTTTTGTCTGTAATTTAACAAAACCTGGAGAAATCTGTAACATTACAGTTTAAAAATGATTTATAATTCTTCAGTCCTTAATACATAATTCCTCTTGCAAATAGCAGCAAACATGTATAAAATAACTAAATTTTTTTCCGATTTAAATACAGGAAATATTGTGTTGCTTTACAATTAAAAATAACAAAAAAAAATTCCATTTGTAAAAAGACTGATTTTTGATGAGGATTATTTACAGTTTTGACCTGTTTTGCTTTGTCTTACAGTCAACTTGTAAATTAATACGATGCTGTTGGGCTTTTACTGGATATCATCAATAATTTAACTAAGCAGAGAAAATATGTCAAATAACAGTACATGTTTGGTTTTTTTTTAAATTACAGTTAAAAACTCATTATTTTACAGTGTGGCGAATTACATCTGACAGTAATTTTCTCTCCCATTATCAGGTATTTATCATTCGACCGTCTCACCCGGCTCTATTCGGAGACTCCCTCCACCTCTGCTCCGCCCCCCTCCTCCACCTGTTGGCTCAGATAGCTCCTCTCTGCTCCCAGAAGTGCTGCCGATGCCCCGCACCTCCATTAGCACCCCTCCCTCCCCGGCCCTCCCCACAAGATCCTCACTGATCCAGAGCACCAGCTTCTTGGAATCAATCCCGGTGACCCTGACTATGGAGCCCAAAGACTGGATGAACACGGGCCTGGAGGACGATGCCGGCGCCGTCCCAATGCCTGACACAGGTCTGGAGAAGCAGAGTGCTGAACGAACTCGGCCGCTTCGAGGGTTTGATGTGGAGTTGAGGAGAAAGCCTGGAGAGGGCTTTGGGTTTGTCATTGCCTCTCAGGATGTGGAGAACGGTAAAGGTAAGAGCACGGGTTTTTGGTGTGTGGCACCAGGGATTGGAAATAGAAGTGGCTGAACATTATGCAGTATTAGGTGAACTTTTCTGGCCCAGCACTACCATTTGGTTACCTGCCCAAGGGTTTCATTTGGATGCCCTTGTGGACAGAAGCACCATTAGGTAATTACAGATTAAAAAGTGGTCACTGTGGCCGCGAGCCACCGGATGAGTCATGATGCATCATCCAGCCTTATTCTAGTTAAATGTTTCATTTCATGTTGGCTTTGTTTCCAGTGTTGTAAGAGATCTGTTTTGGCATCGACTACTTTCAGTGGCTGTTTTATCATGAAGTGGACTTTTGGCTAGCTACGAGGAAATTGCCCAACATCATTCAAGTGTATGTTTTATGACACACATAAAAAGCTAAATGCAAATGTACTACCTGCGACAGGTTTGGTTATTAATTTGGTGGCTTACTGCAAAAATTAAAGACCCCCTTCAGTGAAAAACAAGTCTTTAGCTTGGTACCATGCCTATATGGTGTATTTTATATACCAGAAGACAGATCATGAGCGAAGTACGTGGCCAACACAACGGCTGAGCATTCCTCCTAGAAACTGCAGAGCCAAAGTCTCAAAAACATGGATTCAGATTTCAAGGGTTTCATAACTAACAAATCTAAAGGACCATTCCTGTGAACTTGCAGGTTGCAAGTTTTCTCTGTCAGTGTTCTTCAGAAACTGCTTCTGGTTCAAACATGCGTGGCGGAATTAGTCACGAGGCATTATGCAGGGTAGAGTAGCGTTTCAGTGGGATTGTTTTCATGGAAAACAGTTGTAAATGTATCATTTTGACACACTGAGATAAGTTTTTAAAGGCTTAATCCATGACTGAAAAGTGATTTTATGAAACCAACTACACAAAGTTGTCTGGACCTCACCATTTCATCCCCTTCTCAATATCCAATATCATCATCATCATTGGGTTGAACAGCCAGCAGACAGTTACCTTAATATAAAACTCTCTGCAAGAAATGTATTTCCCAAAATGTCGACCTATCCCCACTGGGTTTGTATTCCTCTGGGTTCATATGTGCATGTGATCTTTGTAATTTAGTATGTCAGCTTGAACGTCGCCTACACGATGACCTTTTGTTTGAAGTATCAAATCAGTACAATCTCAGTCTGCGCTTTTCTGCGTCCGCTCTGACCTGACAGGACATTGAGGCTTGTTTATGTTCTGTCGGGAAAAGCGAAAACGTCCTGCCCTTATTACCTTATAGTGTAGTGCTTACGAATAGCAGGTTAACCGCAGCATCCCCGTGATGTATTGCTCCCTCTCCCCCTCCCCATGTGTCGTGTTTGGCTGCTCGGTTCCACTCTGATGCAGTTCAATTTGCTTTATGGCTCAAGCTAACACACATTTGTGTTTTTGTGGTGGGATTAAGGTTGTAGCTGCACCTGTTTTTCCACAGCACAGAGACCTCCATCATGTCCTCAGTCGCCCCTTCATTTCACTCTCGTCATGTCCCCGAAACAGAAATCTGTCTCTCTCTATATCCCTTTTTCCTTAATCATTTCCTTTTTCTCTTCCTCTCATCAGTCTTTCTCTCCACCACTCGTCTCTCACTCATAAGCTACCGCCCACTCTCCCTCTCTCTCTCACACCCCTTTTACTCTGCAGTAAAAGCGTCCAGTCTGGTTTTTCAAAAGATTAAAACTCTCCCACTCTCTCTCTCTCTCTCTCTCCCTCCCTCCTCCTCTCCCTCTCCCTCCCTCCCTCCCTCCCGCTCTCTCCATCACTCCCTGAATGCTACACTGAACATTTCCCTCGCCGAGGAGCAACAGAGGGGGACAGCAAACCTGTGTTTTGGTTCCTGTTGACCGTTACATGTGAATCTCTGCACCTTGAAGCTGCTTGACACGGAATATAGGAGTTCTTTTTTGGGGTTTTTGTTTTTCTGTGCATGCTAATCAAAGAGCCATGCTGGAGAGACTACAGTCTGCTTTGAAAACTGTGAAGGAGTCTAAACGTAATTATTTGCTTCTCATTGTATGTTTATCAAAGAAAAAAAAAGGGAAGGTTTGGTGCACATTTTTTGCTTTGTGCATGAGGGTTTTGGAATTTCTGTGTTGCTGTCCAAAGTTTGCTTAGTCAGATGTGTTGACAGTATAGAAGTTAGATCCACAGACTCACATGTTGCGGGTAGTTGATCAAACTGAGAGATATGTAATGTGGTTGTTTATGTGCCGGTGCGATGACTGAAGCAACAACTGATGAAAGATTTAAAATGTTTTTCAAGCCGGTGAGGCTTAAAGCAGCACATGACATGATGTGGTGATGGGCTAATGGTCTGCGTATTAGAGCCATCAGTCAGCTACATGGGCAGCAAACTAAATGGATTTAACAGCAGATAAGTAGTAGCAGTGCTGCTCAGCATTAACCACCCTGCACATATACTACTGTCTGAGTGATGCTGCTAAACATCTACAGTCCTCTCTTCTCTCTCCCCACCCGCCCCCCGGTCTCCGTCATGCTGTGGGCATCTGCAGGCTGCTATGGCGATGTCTGCACCCGCCGATTCATCTGGGCTGCAGAGGGGGATTTTTACGATGGCTGCGAGGTGGAGGTGGAGTGGAGGGGGGGGCCCACTAGCACTCCTGAGTGGTAATCAGTGCAGCGCGTCAGAGGCTGGCTGGCTGCTGGGCATACCGCAGTGGGATTACTCTGGACAGGAGAACACGGAGAGCCAGAGGAAAAGGCACAACGATATAAAGCAGTCCATTCGGATGCATCTGTGTGTAGTTCAAGTGTGTCTGCTTGTGCATTTGTGGCCGAGTACATCTGTCCCAATCTCTCTGCGTGTGAGTCACTGCGTGTGCGATTGTGTGTGTGTCTGTTCGCACAATGCTGCTGCGTGCGTGTGAGCATGGACGTTGCATGTGTATTCATGTGTTTGGCGACTGTGGATGTATTATGCATGATAAGAAGACTATTTGCAAAGCTGCCTTGGCTTTGATTTGACCTGATTGCCGTTTCTGCCTGGGTCACCCAGATTAGGCCCAGATTGGAGATATGTCTCTGGGCTCTGATTTATAGGCTCTACATTTTAACTGAATTGTCACTCCAATGTGACGTGCACCTCATCTCCAACGATGTATTCCAACCCCACTCAATTACAATTGTAATCTGTTAGCAAGCATTTCATTTTGCTCTTTAAATCAATTGAAAGTTGCTATTTTTATCCTGGAGGGACTGAGGAGAGGGTTATACATCTCAGCTTGATGAGGGAATGTTTATGCTGCCTGATAGGTTACATAAGGCCACTGGCAAGACTCTGGAGGGACCAGCTGTCACCAAAGTACAACATAGCCTCAGAGGGAGAGGAGGGCAAGGGAGAAAGTAATTGGGAGGTTACTAAAATACAGAAAGAGTAACAGAAGATACAAGTCTAAGCAGACAGACTGTCCAGCTAAAAGCTGTAAGAAGCTTTTCAGTTGGCATGGGAGATTAATGGCAGCAAATTTATTTTTAGTCTTCTCAATATTTTTCTCATCAACCTCAGACACTGACCAGAGCTGAACTTTTCTTGTGAGCTATCTCTTCATGAAGAAGATAAGAGAAATTGAGTTCAAGAAACACGGGGCTAATTGTCCCTTCTTCGCCACCTCCTTTGACTGCAAAAGTCAGTACTCGTTATCTGCAGGCCTCGGCTTCACACTGTGTATTATAGCTGATGAGCAGTGCAGAGGCTGGGAGATGACGGCCAGCGTTTTCCCACATTGAGGAGGGAAATATTTAATGGTGCCAGCACAAAAAAATAAAGTACTGCTGTGTGTGTGTGTGTTTCGTCAGCCACTGGCATACTAATGCGGACAGCCTGCAAGTTTGGGGATCTTAGACGAGATGAGCATAAGAATCACTGACGCTGTAAAAACCAAAGTGTAAATACCCAAAGTCTGTTGTTATGTGCAGTTTGACAGATTCAGGACGGAAAATTATTGCTGGAAAGCTCGGCTCCGTGACAGTTTGTTGAGGTGAAAGGCAAATTAAGCAACAGTGAAAAACTGTTCCCGGTGTGTCAGCGGATGCAGAGATAGGTTGATAGATGGCCAGATGAAGGAGAAGAGGTTTCAAGGAGACGATGGGGGAGGTGTAAGGAAAAGGCTTCTGTGTGAAGTAATTTATAAAGTAATCCCTGCCAAAAACAATCCAAAGCTTAATTACAGCTTGTTTTAGAAATTCTGGCTCACACACTGGTGAGATAAATCTCCCTGCTTTTAAATTTATCTACTGTTGACCTCACTTATTACTCACTGCTTTCGGTTAAAAGGAAAGTTTTAGGGTTGGATGGAGGCTGTAGTTGCTGTAACTTTACCCTATTTGAACCTCAAGCACTTCATTCACTTAAGGCAACATTAATTCATTCATTTTGTTGTGTTTTTTTTAGCTGCTTCCCTTCTTCCCCACCGGTTTGTGACGGTCCGTCGAGGCAGTCCGGCGGCAAAGAGCGGTCAGATCCGGCCTGGAGATCGTCTGGAGGCGGTGGAGGGACGCTCAGTGGTGACGCTCCCTCATCGGGAGCTCGCTCAGATACTTCGCAGAGCGGGAAATACTCTGCGCCTCACGATCGTCCCCCGACCCAGCACCTGTAAGACACAAGCAGCATCTAAAGACATGCATACTCAGCAGTAACACTCATGATGTAACCTTAATGATCATCTCTTTTTTTTAGACTCTTCAACCCTTTCAGAAACCGCTGACTATGACCCAGCTCACCGAGGCAGGAAGGGTCAGAGATCACGACCAAAGGTGAGCGCGATACCACAACGCATGTGTTCCATCAATAAAATGTCTGATGCTATTGTTATCTCCTGACAGCGTCTAATATTGTTTTGTAGTCATGACAATCTCTACCTTTCTCTCCCAGCGTGACTCCAGGTATTACAGTGTCGATCTGGATCGTGGCCCCTCAGGCTTTGGCTTCAGCCTCCGAGGGGGAAGCGAGTACAACATGGGCCTCTATGTCCTTGGACTGATGGAAGGAGGGCCCGCCTCACGGAGCCAAAAAATGCAGGTGAGTGCGTTTGCTGTGTGCATTTCAGTTTGTTTATACACTGTATACTGAATTTATTTAATCCCATTTGCATAAGTTACATTTCACATGTTTACCTTGTGCACTCGCAAAGTCACAGCATGTTTTCTAGCAAACATTTGAAGTAGTCAGGCCAAATTCATGACAGAATATCAGTAGATGTCGATTTAAAAAATATGAGGCTGCACCATCTGCTTGTTGTTTGGGACCCAAAACTAAGTTCTGTACAATATTTTGACAATATTTTAACAATTACATATGTTTTCAGACTTGGGGAATTTTTGTATTTTTAATTATTGTCCTTTGAAAATTGAAAAAAAAAAAGTAACATTTTTAAATGAGGTTGGTAATTGGAGCCCCAAAACGTTCCTGTAAGAGTGTATATATGAGTGCATCCTTATTTCCTACTAAAATTATACTCTTTGGTCTACATTTCACAAATTTTTAAGGCCTCTAACATCAGCAGAATTTGATGTGTGGCATGTATGACAAGCCAACAGTTAGTGGCCTCCATCTGATGATATCTGTTGTTGCCAATAGTGGATGATCTGTCACCATTCCAGCTCAAACAACTATGAGGAGGGAAAGACAACACAAACTTGACAGTAAGACCAACAGAGACAGTGAAATGGCTTTTAATAATCACTGTTTTGGTATGTCTGGCAATATATGCCAAACATTGAATTCTCCTGATGTTTGAGGTCGCAAAAGCTGGTGAAATGTCAACCAAAGACTATGTTTTAGTAGGAAATATGGATAAGTCCATAAATGTTCCCTTACAGGAACGTTCTGGGGCCCCAATAACGTTGAACTTTATCAAACTAAGGACCAATAATTAAAGTATTTTTTGAGGATGAATGTACATAAAATCCCACGTCTAAAAACATGTAAACTTCTCAAAATTCTGCCAAAATGTTGCATTAAAATTAGGTCTGGGTCAGAAATAACAAAAAAGTAAAGTCTGGACAAAATCTCAGGTGGTGCAAAGACATCTTTCCTGAAGTTTGTCCAAACTGACACGAACCAGAAATGACCTGCTCAGTATTTCAAGATTTTCCAAAAATAAAAAACATTTTACTGTATTCTGTTTTGTCACCTTAAAATGTATTTGGATGACAAATCATTCTTGGCAGATAAGCAAGAAACGTAAGCCCCTAAAATCTTTAGTTTTTAAAAATGTGTTTTAATTAATTAAAAATTGGTAGATGAGCAACAATAACATTGAGTTGGCAACATAGCTTATTCGCTGATGAAAAGATTAACAGAATGAATCCTCCAGACTTTGGTGATCTGACTTTTGCTCTCGCGCCATCATGAGGTTGTCATTCAGGGCTTTGAGTGAAATGTCTTGTCAGCTGTCATTTGGATCAAACTAATAAGCGACAGTATCTAAAGTGATGTTGTGGCTGCAGGTGAGCGATCAGCTCGTGGAGATCAACGGGGACAGCACGGCCGGTATGACCCACAGCCAGGCCGTTGAGCAGATCCGCAGAGGAGGCCACCGCATCCACCTGGTCCTTAAGAGAGGAAACGGCTACGTGCCCGACTACGGTAAGACAGACGATGGGTAAAAGCATGGAAATATGTGGATTTAATCAACAAAAGAAGGTATTAAAATGCAGAGAGCCTCCTGTCTTTTGCATGCGATACATAGGGTATGTCTCGGGTGTCTTGTCTCCTTTCTTCTTCGTTTTCTGTGGGACTGATTCTAACCAAACTACTTTCTTTCACTTTTCTGGTGTCTCCCTTCTTTCAACCCATCACCCCTGTGATTCACTTAATCCTAATCTTTGCTTTTACCATTTCCACATGACATTTTTTTCCCCTCCTTCCTGTCATGGTTTTCTTTTCTTTCCTCCAAACATTTCTCTCCTTTCTGCTCCACTCTTTGCCTCCTCTCTGTTTCCTTTTCTCTCTCAGTGGAGCTCTCCAGTTTGTCTCTATGTATGACCAACTCCAAGCTAGGCGAGCCTTGCTTCTATGTCATTGGACGGACAGAGAATACGCGGTTGGTAATGGTTCCTGTTAGTTCTCCCATTTTCTGTCTCTCTACATCCCTCTCCCCAGTCACCACTGCTGTCTTCACTTAGTGAAAGACAGCATGAAGCCTGTATTGGACCTCCTCATTATAATGTAATCTTGATTATCTACATAGTTAGTAATGTAGGTTACATTATGTTTAGCGCAAAATGTTGTTTCCTTCAAACTTGCCTTTTAACCGATTCTGCCTCCCAGCTTGTGAGCGCACATCAGAAATTAATGAAGAAAATGGCATAATTGTGCAATCACAGAGCATACAAATAATCAGATGTGTCGTATCACTAATGATGGCTGCACAAAACAGAAAAGCAGCTGTTGTTACACAAGCTGGCCTAATGCACCTTAAATAAAACAGATTACATAATGCTTTCTTCCAGTGATTCTGCCATTCCTCTGTTTTACCTGCCTATTCAGTCTGTTTTCTCTTCCTCCCTCCATCCCTTCATAATGTGTGTCCAGGCCATGAGCACCGAATCACCTCCCCCTCCCTCCTGCATCACCCCAAGGAGCAGGGTTTGGCTGCAGTAGACTCCGCCGGATGGAGGGGACACACTTCCAAGAAGGAGGAGAAGAAGAGGAGAAGCAAGTCGAATGGAGATGAGAGAGAGACGGAAAGGCGAGGAAGGAGGAGGAGAAGACGGGGCTCAGGGGGAGGAGAGCACTCGGGCTTACAAAGCCCCGTCTCTGAGCGGAGGGGAAGGTCTCAGGAAGCCAGGGACAGGAGGAAGAGGAGGAGAAAAAGGGAGACTCAGAGTTTACCCAGAGATGCCCTCAGGAAACATGATGATAGTGATGCAGAAAAGGAGACGAGGAGGGGAAGGAGAAGGGGAAAGGACAGAGGGAGGAGCAGAGAGAGGAAAAGCAGGAGCGAAGAGAGGGTGAGGGTGGCGAAGGGTGAGGAGCCTGAGCAGGTGGAGGAGCAGGGAGAACCTACTGCTGAGGAGACGGTGGAAGAGAGGATGGCGGAAAGAGTGGAAGAAGTGGTGGAGGAAGTAGAGGAAAGAGCAGATTTACAGGGAGAGGAGAGTGAAGATGAAGTTTTCCTTCCCATTCCAAGTCTTAACCAAAAGCTTCCCAGTCCCAAGCAGAACTGGGAGGAGGAGGGGGAGGAGGAAAACTGGGACGTGGCAGCAGAGTACAGGGAGCTGAGGACAGAAAAGGAGCAGGAGAGGTCATGGGATGATGACGGGGGCGAAAATATAGACACAGAAATGAATGAAGATGAAAAAGATGACGATGCACAGAGCGGGCAGCTGGAGAGGCCATTACTGAGTGTTGCTGTGGTAGATCCGGTGTCACAGAGAAAGCCCTTCTCCTTCCTCACCTCCACACTGTCCATACAGCAGCTGGGGGATGATGATGATGATGATGAGTCAGAGTCTGGAGGCAGCCAATCTGACAGCAGCGTGTCTGCTGCCAGCATCTCAGGCCTCTCTCTGGCTGCCACAGAAGCAGGCGGGCGCAGGGCGGCGGTGCTGCCAGGCCCTTGGCTCGCGCCCAGCCAGCAGAGCAGGGTTCAGGTCACACAGGGGACCAGGCGGCCCGGCAGGCGGACAGGACGGGGGGGAGGAAGGAGCGCTGTCTCTTGACTTTTAGCACGCAGCAGCTGAATGATACTGTATCCGATTCTGTCAGTTCCACACTGTTAGACTTGTTTTTCTGCAGCTACCCGCACTACTACTACCAACATTTTCTCTGAGTCACTTTGATATCTACAGTAGTATGAAGTCATATTCTTCGTGCCTTTTTACAGCTGATCTCTGGCTGATGTTAAATGTCAGTTATCACATTTTAACTCATAAATGATAGGAAAGGTTATCTCTCCCTCAAAAATGTTATTATTATTTTTTCTTCCGAGGCGCCGTTTCCCTTCACATTTGCAGCATTTGTGATAGATGTTTCCACGACAACAAGGTCTTTCACCTTGATTCAACCTCCTCCCTAGCTCTCACTCAACAACGCTCCCCTAACCGCTCAAGAACAGACATTCAATTTTACCTCATGAAGATACTGAGCAATAATAATGCAACTGTCCGAGACTATCAGCCGTCCATAGTTACTGCACCGAGTTGAGCTGGTCTGAGAGGAATCAGTGTAATGTGTTTGTACAATATCCTCTTTGTCTTATGTGGACACTTGCCTCAACTTGTAATGTTGTTCCATGTAACTGGATATTTGATTGTGATATTGCAAATCCCTTTTGAAAGCAGGTGTGAAATCTATATATTCTGTAAATATTTGTAGAGAAAAACAGATTGTAAATACTATACTAAATGGAGCTAAGCCCTTATTTGTATTACTGTATTGTAATATATCATAACGAGTCTGAATATTTGAATATATGCAGTATATCTATATATTACCAACAACAGCTAACCATTCATATTATTTATTAACGTGTGATGACAGATAACGTGGTACCTAGCTTTTGTGGAGGCTCGAAATGTAAACACAGCCTATATTGTCCCTATTTATACATGAATGTTTTGTAATATGCTGCTTGGGTGTGGATTAGGATGATCTGTGTCGTACCCTACTTCAGAAGTAAGCAAAAGATGCCAAAAATATGCATCTGGCAGTGTGCATATTTCAAGTACTGTTAATATTGTGTATGTGGGGTCAGAACAAAAAAAAAAAACACTATCTAGATTCTAGAGAGTGCTGTGCCCAACGTGCCACGTACAGTTGCCTTGGTAACATAAACCACTTTATCCTAACCACTGATTTTTTCTTACTGTGAAAACCTTTGCTCTGAGGTCTCTAATACTAAACGTGGGTGGGCCGTTTAGTAATTTCAGTCATGCCAAAAAAAAAAAAAAAAAAAGGCCCTTACTGTAAAATCCACAACAAGGAATTTCTCCACAACCTGAGCTCAGTGTGTGAGATGGCAAAATAAAATAGCACATCGTTTTTTCTTTTGCTGTCTTTTTTAAAAATTCTGTTACGGATTTAAAAAAAAAAAAAACAGGAATCAAGCTCTGAATGGATACTGTGAGATGTTATTTTTCTATGAGATTTATCTTTTTTGATATACTCAGGTTTTCAGATACTTTGCTCTCTAGAAAAGCCATTAGGAAGAAAAAGCTACAGAGTGACTTCACAGCATTTTTCATAAAAGGTGATTCCTTTGATTTAAATGTTAAAGCAATATTACGTTGGCTCTTCTTCGTGGAGGCATTTGGAGACGCAGACTGTTATTTGTTACCAGTCCAGAATCATCTAAAGGTCGATGCTGTAAGTGAAGTCATTCCTTCATTTGTAATCACAGCAACTGAAACAAATCGCTCGGTGTGATCTGGCCATTGGTTTGCATTGCTGCGACGAAGCACTGAACTTCTCCAGCCAACGACCATACATACAGTGTAGCTTGCTAGCCTATATATAAGACTTGTTTTATAACGTTTGCTAATATTCTTTTTTTAAACTTTCATTTCCTAAGGGGGATTGTATGGCTGAACTGTAAACACATCCTCATAAAACTGCAAATAAAACTGCTGAACCAATTTCCTCGTGTGTCATGCATGTCTCCCTGTTATTGCTTTTTCTGGACACCCCGAGAGCCACAGAAATGGACAGCAGATGGCAGCAAAAATATGGGTGAGATGGGATCTGACAAGATGAAGGTGTGTGAGAGAGAGAATTTTTAAGATCGCTTTAATGACCCCATGAGATAGAAGAAATTGCACATAAAAATCTTGTTCTGTGGGGTTCATGGGTGAATGGGGACCATAAAGAGGTTGAAATCTCATTATTTTCCACAGATTAAATATTAAACCTGCTTCCTACTAGAACATAGGTTTTACATTTTCCATACTCAGTCTAATAGTTTCCTGCACTGCCCAGCCTCACCTGTGTGAGCTCCCACACAAACACACATCAGGTGAATTTATAGTGTTGCAGCTCAGATATGAACACTTAAGCACTGCCACCTAAAAATAACAGCGCTCTGAGGCCTGCCTTCCTCTCGTGTTGTCCTAAGCCGCATCCTTCTGTTCAAGTCAGCTCAGATGCAAAACAAAACAAAAAAAATAAAAATAAATAAAAACCACCGCAGTGAGAGCAGAGCAGCTCTCAGATCAGCTGCAGGAGGAGAAGAAGTGGACTGAAAATATATTCAAATGGCTTCAAATCAAGCGTTTGGGTGGTGGTTAGAGGGAAATACTGAACAAATAATAATAAAAAAAGAGTCACTTTGCAATGTACAGTGTTGGTTCTTACCTGAGCAGCCTGGATTCAGGCGCTCAACAGGGTTCCTGGAGTGTGTAAAGTTGCAAAGATGCAACGTGAGACTCTCACTGGACTTTCTAAATAAAATGTCAGCTGAACACTACAGCAAGTTTCAGCCATCAATTTGGAGAGAATGGATTTTATCAAATAAATGTTTGTAAATGTTTTGCACTTGATTCTTAAATACAGATTTTAAAACATTGTCTTGAGAAACCTCTCAGAAAAGTTCTGTAAGGGTGATTTACTAGGTTTGTGATCATATTTAGGGTAAGACAGAGAGAGAATGGGATAGCAGAAAACAGGCAAGCGATCCATAAGAGAACAATGAATCTTGGAGGTCAGAGGTCAGTAACTGCAGATCAGAGACATGTAGCTCCAGTTCCAGAGAAACCTGCAGAGAGAACAAAACACCAACTACAGAGGAGACAAGGTAAGTGACATGCAATGGTGGCGTATAAATGAATGGATAGAAGAGGGGCTGCACTTTTGTACATTTTAATTCCAACCAGAATTGTTTCTCCATTTTACAGCCATAAGTGCCATTCGTAAGTGTCAATATGAATATAGTAGAAAATGATTTTGACACAGAAGGAATCATGGCCATAAAATGAGCCCGATGTAAAAATGTTGGTAAAAATAAGACATTTCATTTGCCATAACTTGTTTTGAGCAGCAATGCCAGCTGGTGGTATGATCCCTAAAAGTTTACCCAAAATGTTCTTTTTAAAGTTTTCTCTGGTGAATTATCAGAAAACACACAGGGGTCAGATGGGAGGGACTGGTTACCTCCACCAAGGAGGTTATGTTTTAGCCGTCGTTTATCTGTTTGTTGGTTTGTTTGTTCGCAACAAAACTCGAGAGCCCAAGACATGACATGGTCAAAATAAAATAAAATCATGGCCACAGTATAGCTATAACATGCGCACGAAGTAGTATCTCATGCACACAAAATACTAATTCGTTCCCACGTTAAAGCTATATTGTGGCCACGAAATAAGTGCAACGTGTGGACGAAATACTAATTTGTGGCCACGAAGTAATGTGTGCACAAAATGATAATGTCGTTCCTGGACAACTGGGTAAGCAAATTGAGCGCACCTTTTCTGCAATACCCTACTTACTACGTGATGTCCTTAAGGTGAGTGTCTTTTCTTATTATTACCTCCTTACGCCAAGGAGGTTATGTTTTAGCCAGCATTTGTCTGTTTGTTTGTTTGTTAGCAAGATAAATTGAAAAGTTATCAACGGATTTTCATGAAATTTTCAGGGAATGTTGATAATGGCCCAATGAACAGATGATTACATTTTGGTGATGTTGTGGCTTACCATCTGATTGTTTTCTCATAAAACAGTAAATGCTGTGAAGTGTCAGTCGCGCAGAATGCTGTCATTGAGCCGTGTGTCCACTCAGTGGAGCTCTGACTCCATTCAGTCCTCACCGCTGTCTCCTCAGTCGTACAGGAGGAAGCTACAGCCAGGCTACATTACAGGAGTGGACTGAGCTTAAAAGCCAGTAAGGAACTGCAGAAATAAAGTAACTGTACAACATATTTCAGAGTACACAACAACTGTTCTGATGATCCATTAATCTAATTGTGTAGATCAAATGAATGCAGGACTTTAACACTGGCTGGAAATCACAATATGGGGAAAATTGGCTGCTTGGTGGAGGCCACTGCTTGCTAATTGTAATTGACAATTCAAACTTGATTTGCAGATTGCACAGCCTTGAGTTTGTTTATTTGTTTATTTTTGTTTAAGTCTCCACTGTTTTTGTTTGTTTGTTTGTTTATTGTTTTTTATTTTCTTGCAGTCAAAGGTGTGAATATCTTGCCATCACTCACTGGCTCTGAATCTATGTTAATATCTACATGGACAAATGCATTTGAGGTGTCTTGCAAGACCACTAGGCTTGCAGAATTGGAAAAAAAAATAGATACATGAATTAATTTGCTTTTTCAGTTTTCAATTATACACTGGATAATTTCTATATTTTCCTGCTAATGCATAGCTGTTTTTGTCGGTGGTCAACTGGGTAAGGGATTCCTTTATGCGCAACAGTTAGTCTTTTATTTTGAAAACCCACGTGCGGATGTCACTTGTCATTATTCCGCACTTGACGCTGTTGCGCTCTGCAGGAAGAGCCGCACGCATCGCTGCAGTTCAGACGCGCAAAGGAGCAAAAACCTCTGTGTTTGTGCGCCACCTGAACGGACAGCCACCTCTGCTGCCCGCATGGAATACGGAGCCGAGAGCAGCCCAAGTCAGACAAGTGGGAGAGGAGCCTCCCTGCTCGGTTAGAGCCCAACACAGCAGCGCCAAGGCTGCAGAAACACAAAAGTACAGTTTAAAGGGCTTGTCACAGCCTGTGGAGACTTTAGGACAGTCTAAATATTCCGGATAGTTGCTGGTTCTTCAGAGGTGGCAAGTTTTTTTTTCTTTTTTTAAAATTTTTTTTATCATCATTTCTTTTCTTCTTCTGTTTTTTTTAAATCTCGGAGATCAGTCTCGATGAATGCGCGACGTGGAGGTTAAACTCTGCTCGATTCTCGGATGAAACCGCACAGAGACGCACGATTTGGGATGTAATCTGAATTTTTCAAACAGCAGGGATGTAGTTTT